CGAAAAAAAGCGAGGCGACGTGGCAAGAAGCGAAATCACTGGCCCCTCATCAGGCTGAATCAACACCGACGACAACATCGCCCAGCCAATCCGCTTGAGCGACAGGACGGCCACTTTGAGCGGCCCACGCGCCGAGGCCCACGTCAGCTTGTCCTCGCCCGCCTCGACCCTGTCCAGCGTCACCCTCCAGGCCTTCTTTGGCGCACTCATGGACGCCGCCTGCCTCCGCACGACCGCAGCGCAGTGCATGAGCGGCTCGACAGTTGCCGCGAAGACTGGGTCGTACCACGGGTTCCTCTCGCTGGCCAGGTAGAGCGCGTTGCTTCCACCTCGGCCCTTGGCTCCAGCGAGCCGGGCCGCCTCCGAGCGCAGCGCGACCAGCTCGGAGGGGGGCGCGCCACTCACCGCGGCCCCGTGGGCGGCTGCAGGCAGCAGGCCCGTCTGCCACAGGCGCGCCGCACGCCCTCCAGCAGCGCGCCGCAGTTTCGCCGCGCGCCTCAGGCGCGGCCTCACGTTCTTGAGCCTGGTCTTGACGACTCTCCTGCAGGCCCTGGTCCCGTTCAGGTCGTGGCTCAGGTTCCTCATGTGCGGCTGCGATCCCATCCCGAGCTGCCTGGCATACTGCGCCGCTGCATCACGACTTCGCCTGGACGTCGCCACGTAGCCCGACTTGGGCTCCTGCAGCACGAGGCCAACATCCCCGACCTCGTGCTTGAAACGCTTGACGGCTTGCAACAGTACTCGCACACCTCTCAGGTCCGTGCCGATCCACTGAACCGAGGTGTCGTCGGCGAGCGCGCGCGGGATCACGTCATCTGTCGCGAGCCGCCTCAAAGCCCGCGCCGTCGCCACCACCAGCACCGCCGTCGAGTGGGAGCAGCCCGCCAGGATGCCCTGGTGCGCCGTGAAACTCTTCGACGCCGGGCCGAACGCCTTGATGCGCCTCGGCAGGTGGTGGTACTTGAGGATGGCCCACATGAGTCGGAGCGGAAACCCCATGGCCCGAGCCTCCTCCAGCAGCCTGCCTCCGACCAGGCTGTCAAACGCCTTCCACGCATCCAGGAGCACCGTGACGCTGTGCCCTCCATTGATGGTCATGATCTCAGCCGTCAGGTTGTGATGGAACGCTGCTGCCGTCGAGGTCTTGTCAGCCCCACCAGCACCCCAGAGATTTGGCACGTCCGCCTGGTCGAGCCAGGCACGTGAAATCGTGGAACGTGCCTTCGCCCACAGACGGAGGAAGGAGTTCACCAGGGCAACCAGCCTGCATCCTCCACTCGCCTTGGGCAGGCGCACCAGCACTGTGCACGCCCTGCCCGTCGGCCACACCCCCAGCTTTTCACACTGGCTGAAGAGCGCTGACAGCACGTAAAGGCCGATGACACTGAGATGCCCGAGGGCCCGCGGGGCGATGCCCGTCTGGCCCACCGCAGTGCGCTCCTTGAAACACAGCGCTGAACGTCGAAGGTGACCGATGCTCATCCGCGGAAGCTCGGCCCAGTCCTCGAAATCAGGAGGCTTCTCCAGGGCGCCCTGCTCATGGACTGTCCACGCCTCCTTCCAACCGTCGAGCTCGCGGTCAGCCCTCTGGCGCGGGCTGGCCTTCGCGGTGGCCCCGCGGACCTCAGCCTCAGGAGGTGGCCTCGTGAAGCGGTGTGCCGCGCTCGCACCGCCTGTGAAGCTCTTGGCTGCCCACGCACGCCACTCCTTCTCACTCTCCCCATTGTAGCGCCGAGTGCACCTATCGGCCTCCGCCGCGATCCCCTCAACCTTGGCGGCCCATGTCCCCTTGCTCATCTGGGCCACGCCGCCCAAGAGCCACTGCGCGACGTCCTCAGAGAGCTGGCCAAGCACACGTTGCGACTTCGCCACGTTGCCGTAGTAGCGGTGAGTCTCGAGGATGAGGTCAACTGCCCGCTCGATGCGGTCGTCCAGGTCGCACGCCGGCAGCTTGACCAAGCGCGAGCGGGCTGCGTCCAGATGCCGAGCCCACCTCGCCGCCACCATGTGGACGCTGACCTTCGGGTCGCACAGCTTCCTCCGTCGCGGCGGCTGCCGCGTCGGCTGGGCCAGCTTGAAGACAGGCTCGCCCGCCCTGCCCGTGCGCTGCCGCCTCTCAGCCCCCACGAGATACCAGCGGCTGCAGAGCTCGGCCCCCGCCATGCTGACGACTGCGCCCCACGCCTGCGCCGGGCGCCCAGGCTCATCCGCCGCGAGGACGCGCTGCAGCGCCGCCCGCCACCCTCGGCCATGAGGGAAGGGCGCCGCGCCCACAGGCGGCACCGCAGCGACCCCCCGCGGCTCGACGGCGACCCTGACAAAGGACTCGCGGTCGACCGTGGCCAGGTTCACGTGCGCGGGGACGCGTGGGCGCAGCGCCGCGTCCGTCGCGGCCCGAGCCTCGCCTAGCCTCGGGTCCAGGTTCGGCGCCGCGATGAGGTAGTCCAGGCAGGAGCCCTCCACCGACTGCCAGCACGTCGGCCCTGTCGGGGCGATCGGGGCGCCCCGCACCTGCTCGAGCCATGGCCCCTTCAACTCGTCCAGCTCCATGTTCCAGTCGCCCATGGCCACCCAGTCCAGCCCGCATGCGTTGAGCACCCTGAGGTGGCGCTGCAGCTCGTGGACCGTATCTGAGTTGTCGTCGCCCATGCCTACGGAGTGCCTCAAGTAGACCACGACGACGATGAGCCCTCCCTTTACGCCCCAGTGCACGTGGCCCGCCAACACGCGCGCCTCCTCCAGAACGTGGGGCGGCCTGAAGGGCGGCGCCGTCACGGGGATGACATTGCGCGTGAGGAGCGCGACGCCACCCGAGACATCCAGCGGGCCACTGCCTGTGGCCATGCCTGGGGCCCACAGACCATGGAATCCCAAGTCCTTCACCTGGCCTTGCAAGGGGCCCAACCTGTCGCCCAAGACACGATGCTCCTGCACGCCGAAGATGTCACCCTTCGGGTCGCCAGCGAGGTACTCGGTCAGCCCTCTCGCACATGAAACGTTGACCGTGGTCAACACGCCTTTGACAGCATCCGAACTGCCACCATGCTTTGTATTACCAGAAACTCCCATCATCATACTGAACAAGGTACTCCAGAAAACACCAAAGCTCGGCCCCCGACGCCTAGTAGGCACGATAGGCCCACGCACTGGCCGCTGCCGCGATCTGGCGCGCCTTTGCCCTGATCTCCGCCTCCTCTGTGGGGACCTTGAACCCTGCGGCCTCGATGCTGTCGCGCAGCTGCTCGAGTGGCGCCTTGTCGGCCACCGTGCGCAGCCTCTTGGCGTCGGGCGGCGCCGCCGCCACGCCGCCGGGATCCAGGTCGCCAGCAGGACGCACACGCGTCCAAGCCCTGGGGCCGAGCGTCGCCGCGAACTTGGGGTGGGACAGGAAACTTCTCAGTGACCTCGCCCGACGCCCCCAACTCCTTGAGCAGGTCGGCCAGGACGTCGAGGTTTGGCGCCCCACCTGGGGCCCCTTCGGACTCCTTCGCATCTGGTGGCCTGGGCACCTGGGCACTGAGCACCTGCAACTGCTCCTCCAGCTCGGCATCATCAATACGCAGCTTGCTGCCCTTCTCGCGCTCGGCCTCCAGCGCAGCCTGCGCCTTGGTGACTGCCTCCTGCGCCTTGGCCACCGCCGCGTCCTGCTTGCTGATGGCGTCCTGCTTGGACTTGAGCTTCTTCTGGAGAGTGAGAAGCTGCGCGACCACGGGCTTCTTGGCACGCACCTGCTCTGCCAAGACCTGCCGCTGGGCCGCGATCCTCTCGATCGTGTCGAGGATGTCTTTCACTGGGTCGGAGAGACTACGCAGCACACGTAGCTGGCCATCAAGATGTTCGATTTTGCGCTGCTCGTCGCCTCCCTCTGTGCTCTCCTCAGCTTCAGCGCCGCTGGGGGCCTCCGCCGCAGAGCCCTTCTTGCCCTCCGCCCGCAACGTCTTGAGTTCCTCACGCAGCCTGGTGACCTCCCGCTGCAAGGCGAGGTGCTGCCCAGCGGCGCCTGCACCCCCACCAGCACCGGTGGTGCCACTGTGGCCACGGCGCAGCCCCTCCTCCCCTCGGACGTGGCCCAAGAAGGTGCGGTCCTTGGCGCCGCCGCAGAAGTGGCATAGCTGCTTGGAACCGAACGTGATGCATGGCATCCCGATCTTGGGCCCGCGCTCATACTTGCAGAAACGGCAGTACCAGTCAGGCTTGCCCTCGCCGCCACTACCGTCGCGGCCTCCAGGCGCCATGGTCCCTCGCCTACTCTGGAGAGCAACGAGGCCAGCCACAGGGCCAGGAGAGGCGGAAGCAAAACTGTCGGGCGGAAACACCCTGGCACTGGCCGCGGACTAGCGGTATCCACGTGTTCTCCTGTGGAACAAAGCATCTTGAGCCAAAATGGCTACGGAAGAGGAAGAGGAGGAGGAGGAGGAGGAGGAGGAGGAGGAGGAGGAGGAGGAGGAGGAGGAGGAGGAGGAGGAGGAGCGCCATCGACAAGGAAGGTGGGGGCCACGAGGTCCGCCGGCTCGACAACGCCCGCGTCGCCCGCGCCCGCCCCCTCACTCTTATCCGCAATTGCGGGGTGCTACATACTTAGATCATGGCTGGAGAGATGATAGCCGAAGTGAAGCAGATGAGGATGACGTTGGCGGCCGTTGCCCCGCCGACACCGTTGGTGACGCCAGTCAAAGAGAAGAGGAGGGAGGAGAGTGGAGAGGAGATAAAATAAGTGGTTGTTCAATACACATGGAAAGAGATCTGCGGCGCCCACGAGGCAAGTAAGGGCCCCTCGAAGCCGAAAATAGCAAACAACCCTTCTTCACGATTTTGTCATCACCCGAAGGGGTCTGGGTCTATTGCGCCCAGATGCTTGACGAAGCTACGCGAAACCGCCAGGCGTGAAGATGTTGCAGCCCCCCAGGCGGGCTATGGCGGCCTCCTCTTCGGCCGCGCGCCGGCGGGGGTCACTGGCGAGAGGCGGAGCGCGACTGCGGCCGGGGCCGAGCGGAGGAGGCCTTGGGCTCCTTCGACTGCGCCAGGGAGGAGTTAATCGGCGGGTTGGCCTCTGTGCGCGGCGGGCAGGAGGGAGGGAGGGATGGACGTCGGAGAGAGGGATGTAGAATATAGACGGCAGAAAATTCATCCCGATGTGACCACCCCGACACGCGAAGCCGCTTAGTTAACACACCTTAGAAAGGAATCCGACAGGGCAAGGCTGTTTAGTAAACTCTTAGGGCCGTTTACTAGTTCTCCCTGATTTGAGGATAGGAGAACCAGGAAGGCATGAAGAGGAACGAAGGGGCCTTCCTGGCCAGGGGCTACAATGAGGCTCCCCGACCGAAGTCTACGGAACGGCCCGAAAACCAGAGTCTTTTTCTGAACGCGAAGTGGCCTTCATTCTGCCGTCTTGACTGTAGGAGGGTAGGGGGCTGAGAAGCAGGAGGAACATGCATTTGTTGGACATCGGCGGCACTCACCCAGCCGAACTCCTGGCCAATGGGTGGGGCTGGCCAAGGCCTGGGTGCACCAGCCGTAACACGCGAGACGAGCAGGTGCACCGCGAACACGGGGGCGCCGACCAGGACATGCAAGACTTACGTTGCCGTGCGTACAGCGCCTGGCGCCGAAACCGATAACCGCACGGCGATCGCCCTCGACAGAACGGACGGAGGGGTGCAAGAAGGAGGGGCAGGAGGGATGGTGGGCTGAGGGAGGGAGGGAGAGTGCAGGAAGGAGGGAGAAGGGAGGGGGGGAAGGAGGATAAACATGGAAGGGAGCAAGGAGAAGGAGAGGGCATGGGGGACCGGACGGAGAAGGAGGGATGGATAATCCTGAAAGGCCTTCAGAACCCCGCCCCCACTGAGGGGTAACTAATTATGTGTTCGGCGGCCTTATTGAAGGACTGGGGTTCCACATATAGGGGGTAACTAAATATGTTTTTTTCGCGGATCCCGCCGCGCAACAACGACGACGACAGCTACGACTACGGCTGCGTCTACGAGGAGGAGAAGGAGGAGGAGGAGAGAGGAGGAGGAGGAAGAGGAGGTTTTACGACCAGTCCTATTCACCACCGAGAAAAACGGGGGACAACAAATAAAATACCTCTAGCGGTTCACAGACTGTACTGTGTAAATCTCACAACGTTCTGCGGAGTTCTAACTGGTCATGTGGGATTTGTGTGTGTGGTGGGCGGGTGGGGGGGCAGCGCTGTTGCCAAGCTACGGCGGGCGAATTGCCCTACTCCTCCTGCGGGGGCTACATGTTGTACGCGCGCTGCTCCCGAATACGGCTCAAAACAAAGACCAACTATGCACCACCGACTCTGCTTCAACGGCTCGTCATATCCGCCGCCCTCAGCCGACCTCGGAACGTCTCCGAGCACATCGCTTTACCATCGGCTCGGTTGCTTCGCCATCGCTGGCGGACGAATGCAGCCTGCTACGGTACAGCCTGTGACTTTGCCGCCGACTTTTGGACGAAACACGACATGCATGACGCTGGTTCGACGCGTCTTTCGCGTAGTACGACGCGCCCAAAAGACATGGAGGTCGCAGAGCGCCTCGAGGGGGCAGAATTGATGTTGTATGCCTTCCGCGTTCTTGCAAATCACTGGCTTCTGGAACTCCAACACGGTCCGGAAGGTCCCCCGACCAGCCCAACACGGCCCTAGAGGTTTGGCCCAGACACAGCCCAAGAGGGCCCCATGGGGGCCCCAACGAGGGGCGCAACAAAAGTCCAAGAGGGGGAACCCGCAGGGGACCTGGGACCCCACCCGACGATCTCCCCAAAGACCTCCAACATGCCCGCAAGAGGCCCCAATGAAACGTGAGCGTTCTTTTTATTCGGCGTTTCGACATTGGGCGTAAGGGGAGGGGGGAGGGAGGGGGAGTGGGGCTCCGACCTCTGCTTAATGCGACTGTTTTCGACAGTGCGTCCTATGAGGGGAGACTCTACCTGCTCGAAACAGGCGCCAAAAAACAGCCGAGATCTACTCCAGGAGGGGGTGAGGGGGGGGTACGAGGACCCGCGCCGATCGGCAAAACAATACATGAAACACGATCACAACCATCAGAGGGCTCTCCAAAGCCTCCATGGGCTCTGACAAGGCCCAAAGAGGCTGCCTCGCGCAGGCCTTCAAGAAGCACCCAACGAGCCCAGCAACAAACGCGGGGGGAAAGGAGGACGGCCCAGCACCAAAAGCACGCACGTAACACGAACAGATGTGGCAAACGACACAAACGGCATCGGAAACCGCATTTATATCCGCTACTCGGGACTCGGAAGAAATCCGCCCGCCCACCCGGTTCAGGGGTGTGTGAGACTCAGCTGCGAAACCCAGACACGCTAGACCCGGACATCCAACATCCCTCGAAACCAATATTTCGAGACGGCGGCACGAACAGAATACGGCACTGCAGCATTTCCAACATATACCCAGACACAGGCCCCAAAAGCCTGCCAGCAAAGAAAAAACTGCACGGGCGCTGGACAATGTGACTTTGAAGGAACATGTTTTTTCTTTGGTTTCCCGTGTCCTGGTTCATATGTGTCCTGGTCTCCGGGGGCCTGAAAAGTCATCACGAAGGCTTAGCTCCCCCCCACCCAATTCACCAGTTCCAGAAGCATCCGCCATTCTGCCGGAAGGCTGCGACACGGTTCCTTGCCTTGTCCCAGGACGGCAACACGACGGTGCTCGCGTTGGGGCCGTCCAGCATATACCGCCTTGGGTCGCCTCGAGCCCATCTGGACCCTTTCGGAACCATGTTTCGGAACCTTCTTACTCGGCACGTGGTGGCGACCTGTGGGTCACATTCAGGCCGATTGGTTTCAATGTTGGCCTGTGGTATGGCCGCTGCTGGCATCCTGCTCTATATATAAGCGGCATAGGTGCAAAGAGCCAACGTCCATGACACTGATCCGTTGCTCATGTTGACGGGCACAAGTCAACTCCGCGGCATGCCTGAGCCCACCAGGCGAAGGGGTGGATATAACATGAATATCGCACACCTGCGACATAGCTATTCCCTATTACTCCGTATGTCCATCTCGTTGTGGAGGCGTCTTCGAATTGGAATGGGCGGGCGGTGAACGCTGAACGTCTCGAATATCCGAGGTTGGGGGGGTGAGATCGCAGTGGAAAGGAGAGCCCCCCCACTGCACTGGGAAATTGGTTTCGGTTTCGTGTTCGTGTCGTGCGTGTGGGCGAGGCGAAGCTGCGTGGGCGCGCGAGAAGAATGACCCCGCCATCGCTAGGGCGATTCGGATGCAGGAGGGGGGGATGAGGAGATGAGGAGGAGGAGGCGAAGGAGGAGGTGGAGGAGGAGAAGGGGGAAGAGGAGGCGGAGGAGGAGGGGGGGGACAAGGAGAGGCGCCAAGGAGAAGGAGAGAAAATGTAGGAGAAGGAAGGGAGGAGGAGAAGAAGGAGAAGGAGAAGGAGAGAAGATGTAGGAGGACTCCCAGGTGTAGGGCCGCGGTGGCGCCGCGAGAGCGCGGAGGGGGCCTCGCACTCGACCTGGAGGAAGAAATCTCCGGGGCCCGTCTGGGCGGCGGGTTCCCCTCCTCCGCCTCTCCTCCTCCTCCGGCTTCTCCTCTGGCTTATCCTCCTCCTCCGCTTAGCTGCAGTGGCGATGTACCTACCACCCCAACCTAAATACGCAGCGGAACAGCCCCAGTATATGGCCACGGTGAAGTTGATTGGATCATGGTACGAGAACATACTTCAGAGCCTGCCGTGTCGATGCATACCGCTGGTGTACGCGGACCTCAACGATGGCCAGGGGATCTCACGAATATCGGGCAAGTGGACGAGTATTGAGTCAACGGCGGTGGGCGAGGGAAGGTGCAGAGAACAACGCCGAGGAGGAGCTGGTGAAGTATTCAGGCTCATCAACCAACGGCAGCACATGTTCGCGATGAATACGCTGAAGGACAAGCTGGAGCACACATGGTACGGCGCGAAGGGCGTAAGCAGTTGTATAGATTATCTTTTTCTTCCGACTGGGATGATTGACATGGTTTCAAGATGTTCTCCTTTATTTGGATTGGGTGCAGAATTACAGGCCTATCGAGGGCCACCACCACGGGACCATGTCCCCTTATACGTTGAGTTGCAGGGTATGCAGCCACTGGAACGGGAAGCAAACTCGACGGAGACGAGAATGCGCTGGAATCTTGACGATATGATGAGGTGCCTACGAAAAGGACATCGTAGGGGCGAGTTTCTTTCGGCAGTAGAGGCGTCGTTGAACGAGAGCGAGGACACATGGAGGGCTATGCTGTCCATGGGCCGACCTGACGAGATCTTCAAACACATGGAGGACACCCTCGTGAAGGCGGGACAGCAGTACTTCGGTCACCACGTGTCCAGCGATCCCTTGTATCGGCAGGAGGCCTCGGAGCGGGCCGAACTTCTTCGGGAGCGAGCTCGCCTTCGTAGATCGCGAGTGGGTATGAACGAGGAGGATGAAGCATTGGCAGAATGTGAATCGAGACTGGCGCAGCTAAGTCAGAAGTTACGACGTCGGCGGCAGCATTTTGCTCGAGTCCGACAGCAGGGCCTACTTGAGGAAATCGAGGAGGCTTGGGGACGACGTCATATGGCCGAAGCGATGCGGCTATCACGGGCAGCAGCTCATTGCCGTTATGGTCCAAAGCGTCGCGACGGCAGGCTGCTCCGTGGAGGTCATCTTACGTCAGAGGTTTTGATCAACCATTGGTCGCAAGCAGGTTGTGAAGGTGGAATGTCAGCATCTGTGATTCCAGATTATGAGGAATGGTTGGAGTCTTTTCCTGCAGGTCCTACACCTTATATTTCGGCAGAAGATTGTATCTTGGCAGAGGAAGACAAGCAGCGGGTGACCAAGTATTTTCGCTCGGCCACGAAGCGTCGGGCAGTGCCGACGGGCACGACACCAGCTGAACTATGGCTTCTTTGCCTACGGGCGATGGCAAATATTAGCGCGGAGGGGCAGGGTTTGGGCTTCCAGCAGGAGTTTCCAGAGATGAACTTGTTCGGGAGAATCTTGGAAGGGGGGCTTCGCTTGATCAGGGCAACGAATAGGACACCGATGAGATGGCACTGTAGTTCGGGGGCACAATTACGAGAAAAAAAAAAACGCGAAGCCAGGGCCCTTGGGAAGGAGAACGGTTCACGTTTTGTCCACGTTCGGGAAGGCTTTCTACTCGGATCTGCTGTGTGTGCCCCCGATGTTGATCGAGCATGGGTTTTGCCGTGGCCGTAGACGAGAGGATGCAATTCTAGTAGTGCAGCTCCTCAGTTGGCGGCTCCGTCGAGCAGGGCATAGTTTCGCTTGCACGTATAAAGACATGACGAATGCTTTTGCGTGCGGGTCCTGGGAGGAGTTGACTAACACGGTAAACTTACACGCGGCCCCCGAGAACATAGACGTATGTTTTCAGCGCTTTAAGAGTAGCGTGGTGCGACTGGAGTCTCTGGAAGGGGGGGTCTACTTGAAGTCGGGCGAGGGTGGCGCGATGGGGGACCCGTACGTAGTTACACTTTTCAGAGGCACGTTCTCTAGGCCAATCATGAAGTGGCTCTGGCGGCTCCGCCAGATCGACCCTCATTCGAAGGAGTTGATCGCGCACTGGAAAGAGCTCAGGGCGGACGTCGGTACGAGCGTGTACGCCGACGACCTTTTCAGAGCCCATGTTGCAGCCAATTTTTCCACGGTGGGAGAGTTTCTTTCGGTCCTCAGGGAGGCGGATGAGGCGCTTTCGGAGGAGTTGCAGGAGTACGGGTATGCCCAGAATGTTTCGAAACAGGAGCTGCAATTATGTTTCCAGGGACCAGGGGCGGTGAAATGTCGGCAGTGGGTGCGGGGGACGGGACGTTCGAGTATCTCGGGAGAAGTTCAGGAGGACGTTCGTTATTTGGGACCTAGAATTAATCTGCAGCAAACGGCATTTATAGAAGTTCGTCGTCGGATCCAGGCCACAGCTGAGGCCTACTATTCGCTCGGTCAGGTATGGAGTTTATCAGTACCGTTCCGCTGGAAGCGGACTCTATTTCTCAGTTTTGTTCAGAATGCCGCGCTGACGGGCCTGGAGCCAATGCTGTTAACCGCCAAACATTATCGAGAATTGGACGCACTTATAGCTAGATATGGGAGGAGGGCGATGCAGGGGAAGGCGGTGATCAGCAAGGAGGAGGGGAAGATGAGGACGCTCACAAACAAACAGGTCATGCAGCATTGGCGCCTAGCAAGTTCTGCCACAGAACTTCTTGTTCGCAGGTTGGGCTGGTATCGCAGCTGGGCCCTTCGCCCAGAGTCTCACACGCAGGAGTTGTGCTTGCTTTTCGGTACGATGCCACTTGATCCAGGAGGTACAGCGCTCTCTGGTAATCAAGTTGTACTGTCTCATGCGTCCCCATGGCTCGTTCGGCTACAGGAAGACGTTCAACATGCCGCCGAGCGGATGGACGAGGGACAGATCTGCGCACATTGCACGATTCCCTGGAAAACTCATCAGTAAGGAAACGGTGTCGGCTCTTGCCCGACTAGACTTCACGGAGATCCGATCCAGGGAGTTGTCGGTCACGTTTCCCCCGGCCGATGGAGAGGCTTCGCTCGACAGGGACCCCGAGGCTGAGGACCCCCTTGAATTCCCTGAACACCTTTGGAAGTGCGACTGGGAGGAGGAGGAGGGGCACATATGTGGACGGGGCTTCCAAACTAAACGAGATTTGCTAAACCATATGCGTCGAGTTCATCAAGTACATAACTTATGTTCGACAATTACACCAACAAACACCTGGTTGTATGCCGTCGAGTCTTCGGGTCGCAGGGCAATGCGTACAAACATCTACAACGGGCAGTCTTGGCGGGGAGGTGTCCTGCTCGCGGTACTTCGACGTTTCGACAGGTCCAAGTCCCAGGAAGCTTCGATTGTAAGATATGTGTGTACAAGGCTGGTGGGCTCGATGATCTCTGTAGCCATTTGGCTGAGTGTCATCTTCCACGGACGGTTGAAGCTAACCTCCCTCCCGAGCAAAGAGTTGCCGACGATGCCAGTGGAGGGGGAGGCGAAGCTGGACGTTCCAGAGTGGATGCTGGCCCCATCATCAGAAGGGGGACCCGCCAAGCACCGCCGAACCGCAGACAGAAAGGGCGACCTCGGCAAGCTCGCGGGCTCCACGCTGTCGCAGCTCATCATTATCCTCGCCAAACTGGTATTATCAGACAGTCGGCAGCTGGCCGAATTGACGGCCACCGTGTACAGAACGTTCGACCTCGATGCAGGCACGGGTTTGGCATCAGCAATGGAAGAAGCAGGACAGGGGTACAACGAAGTATCAAAAAGCCTCAAAGAAAAGTCGGCGAAAGGCGAGCAGGTCAACTGGAAAGCAAGGGGGCCACCATTCGTGCAGATATTCATGGCATCTATGCTGTGGGCGGCGCAGCAGGCGGACAAGAAGGACGCTCCAGTGTGGGCGAAGGAATTCAAGCTCATGTGGACGGACAAGATCAGCAAAATGAAGATGGCCGAAGTTGGGGAAGTGGTACTTCATTGGCAGTGGAAGAGGAACAAGGGCAAGCAGTCCGAGGGCGAGAACAACATGGGGAGGATCATTTTCGCGATCGACACCGCCCGCCCCTTCGGCCTGGCCCTGGCGGAGTACGTCGAAAAGATGCTCGCGGGGCTCGGCGCGGAGAGGAAGATCGGACCAGCCCCCCGCGGGCCGCTCGAGAGGGATGCAAGCAAGTTGTTGGCAGAATTGAAGGAGTCGTCGGCGTGAGCAGTAGGAGTGAGCAGCGGAGAACCGAGCAGAGTGTGAGTGTAGGTAGGCCTTCTCAGCCTAGTAGCAGTAACAACTCAGGGCGGCCTAGTCAGGCTGAGTTTTTTGAAACTCCTGGCAGCGTCGGGGCCGTCCAAGGGGAAGCTCCTGGTCGTCCGAGGGCCGCCCGACCGAACTTTTTGAGCAGCTTGCAGCAACTGAGGGGTAGTGTTAGGCTAGTCGAGCTAATTGCAAGAGGCAGTGTCAGTGCAGATATTTTGGACCCGAGCCCCACCCCTGCCCCATCAGCCTATAACCCCGAGATAGCGACCACCCCCACCATTCAGAGGGAAGGAGGCACGCGCAGAGGGAGAGGCAGGAAGGGGAAGGGCAAAGGAAAGGGCAAGGGTCGGTAGCAGTTCTCATTGGTCCCCATCAGTGGGCCCCTCGTTAGGCTGCGTGCCGAATTCGGGGGTGCCCACAGGGGCGGTGCGGCGTCCGTCGAGAGCCACGGGCCGCGCTGGAAGGTTTGGCGGCATTAAGTTTCGCCCCCCAGAGTTCACCCTGCCCCACCCCGCTAGGCAGCTAGCTTGGCAGGCGATAAGCAGCAGCAGACGAACTCCCACGGGCCTGATCCTGATCCTGATCCTCCTCCTCCTCCTCCTCCTCCTCCTCCTCCTCCTCCCCAGCATCACCCCCCGTGCCAATTGTGCACACGGCTCCTGTTGGGCCGCTGGGGAAGGAGGCCGGGGGGGCGCACTGTGAGGAAACGCTGTGGTCTCCGAGGAACGGCACCTCGC